AAACCGATAAACAAATATAAATCTTATTTTTATAAAAAAACAACCCAATAACGAAATATATATTTGACAACGTTTTGCATAAAAAACAACAACACAGAAAACTAGATATCAATAAAAAAAAAACCAGATATAGTGAAAAAAATCCAGATCTAGTGAAAAAAATCCAGATCTAGTGAAAAAAAACCAGATCTAGTGAAAAAAATCCAGATCTAGTGAAAAAAATCCAAAAATGTGGCAACACTAGTTATTCTTATTAAGATTTCAATGTTGTTGTCAAGGCAACAACTACCTAATAAGTCTCTACAAAAGGTTATCCATAAAGCTAAATATTTTGACCAATAATTATAAAAAGAGATTTTATTTTTAGTTTACATGTTTGTTTGATCTACGGATCATTATAAAAACCGCAGTTTTTTTTTTTCAACTATTCAGCTCCCCGAGGCCGAGAAGGTCACTAAAGTCAAGGAGGCTACTTTTGTGGTTACAACATCTTCTCAACTCTGTAACTCCAAAATACAAACCTCGACGAACAAGGCCGTAGTGAAACAAGTTGAGCGCGGTTTTACCAGGGACGTGGTTGGGACTTTCGAATGTAATTCAGACGTCTTTTGAACGTTCAACGCTAACCAAAAAAAAAATTATTTTGCTTCAAAAATGGTCTAGGACGTTCAGGACGCAAACGCACTCTGTACGTTTTTTTTGTTGGAATAAAAGGAACCGTCTTACGCCTGATCTTGTTAATGCCAAATCGTTAATTTGCAACAATTTAAGAATTAAATGCAAAAAATTTTGCGATATAACAGAAGAAAACAAAAAAGCTTTTAAAAGCAGCTAGAAGTAAGAAAAAATACAGCTTCAAGGAAAATAATAAAAATCATTCTTATTTGCAGAATGAAACAAGAAACTGTTAACTAGTGTTTTACTATATTTGACATCGTAAAATACTAGGTCGTTAAATCTAACATTTAGGAAAGTATTACATTTAGTATATATTTAACAGATTTTGTAACTAAATAAAAGTTAAAATTAAATACAATTAAAATACAAAATCAAATGCAACAAATAAATAAACTTTTATAACCAATAACCTTCCTTTTTTCAGGTCAACAAATTTATTTGTTCATAATTTCCGTAATAATAGGAAACCACTTAGTTCGATTTCTAAAGTCTCATAGATTTTGTTTCATTCAGTCTCATAGCCCTGATTTCAGTCTAATGAAAAATTAGAACATATTGTGAACAATATAATATTATTCACAATTTTTTATTTTTTATTATTATTTTTAGGTGCCCCAAGAAGTCCTAACGGTCTTGTCACAGAGAACCGCGGAAGTGCATTTAACCAGGAATTTCACGCCTCCTTCCTTACCGTGACGCGAAAATATGCCCAGAGCTCGTTTCGAATCTGGATCTCCTGCTTATTAGGCAGGCGCTCTAACCACTGCACCACGGCCGCATTTAATATTCTAAATTTTCAATAGAGTTAAATCAGGGCTATAACTATATAAATATGCATATTTTTTTCCGCTGTTCTAACTTTTAGCTAATTGTAATCTGAGAGCTGTTTTATTTGTTTAAAAGCATTGGTTGCAAAAGTAAAAGGCTACTTTATTACACCTACCTTATTGATTTACAAATAGAATTAATTTATTTGATAGATCGCGAGGTTAGAATTATTTTGTTCTATCTCCACTTTTTGAAAAAAATGAGTTATTAATTGTGTCATGTACCTAAAAATATTGTTTTTCTACTATATTAAAACCCAAGTTAAAATCAAAAAAGTTTCGGAGAAAACATAAATAATAATAATCTTTTTATATGCCGTCTCCTAAAGTTTTTATTTTTTAAATCGTTTTATCTCGAAACAAAAAAATGTGGAGATGAAACAAAATAATTCTAACCTCGCGAGATGTCAAAAAATCACAACCTCTAGTCATAAAAAATTATCCGATACTGATTTTTTTGCGAATATACATGACAACATTAGCCACTAAATATAATCGCTACAGGAAAGTTTTGAAAACGATTAGAAACCGCATATAAAATTAACATTACTATAAAAAGTCTATGGGGATGTTTTTTTTAGAAATTTTTTTTTTATGGTAATGTTATCTTTATATGCGGTTTGTATATTTTGTTCTGCGCCATAGAAAACTTTTCTTGACTAGAAACGGCTTAAATGTTTAGGGAGCGATGGTTCAATGACAACAATCTTGTTGTCATTATGATCTTTTCTTCGTAAAAAGAGTCCTATTATTCTTTTCGAAACAAGAAATACTAAGTCTGCTTCTTGCCTTTGCTATCAATATATTATTCGGTGAATGTTGAGTAGGTAGGCCTACTAGCTAATTAAATGTTAATTTTATTAGCCTACTAGCTATATACTATATTAGCTATATATATTAGCCTACTAGCTATATACTAACATTTTATTAGCCTACTAGCTAATAAAATGTTAAAAAAGGCGGAACCCAATAATGTAAACTTTCGGGAAACTAAAAAAAACTGCATTTTCCCCTTTAGTAAACTTTTCCAATAACCATTACAAAAAATTTTAAATGGGGGAAAATGCAGTTTTATTTCTTTTCCAGAAAGTTTTGATTGTTGGGCTTCCTTCCTTAAAACATATATCGATTCGTATAATGATAAACTTATTTTTAATTAAAAGTAAACTTATCATTATACAAATCGGTGTATGTTAAAAGGAACAAATGTAAGTAATTTATCATTATATGAATCAGTGTATGTTTAAAGGATACATTCCATATGATATTGAAAATTTTAATATCATTTGGAATGTATAATTTTGATTATTGGATTTCCTTCCTTTGAACATACACCGATTCGTATAATGATAAATTTACTTTTAAATTAAAAGTAAATTTATCATTATACGAATCGATATATATTTAAAGGAAAGAAGTCCAACAATCAAAATTATAAATTCCATACGATATTAAATGTTTTAATATCATGGAATGCATAATATACGCGGAAAAAAAACAAACTCTTTTGAACTCTGAGAGTGTTCATTCCATTCGGATTTTGTTTGAGAAATCATAGTTTCTAAAAGCATAAATAATAACAACAGAAAAAAATGTGATCGCAAAAAAAATTCCTTAGTTGCCTGGTATAATTCATCTATAACCAACACTAAATAAAATTTTTATATGATTAAATATATATGAAAATGTTGTGTATATAGTTATATTATATTATATTATATTATATTATATTATATTATATTATATATATATATATATATATATATATATACATATATATATATTATATATATTATATATATATTATATATATATTATATATATATATATATATATATATATATATATATATATATATATATATATGTATATATATATATATATATATATATATATATATATATATATATATATATATATATATATATATATATATAAATATCCTTAAAGCAAGAGTGAGAAAAAGGTTAAACAAAACATAATGTAGTGTTAACAGAATACTAAATAATAATAAGTATAAATAATAAATAATAAAATACTAAATACTATACTAGTAATAAATAAAATACTAAATAATAATAAGTATAAATAATAGAAAAATTAAAAAAACATATATTAGTAAAATTAATTTTTTTTTATTTTTATTTTTTTTATAAAATGTTTAAATTTATTAGTAAAATTAAATTTTTACTACTTGCCTGAAAATTATGGTAACACATGAAACTCAGAATTGCAATATTAAGTCATATTATAAACATTAGCATTTATCTATCTACATTTCCACCCATCCCTACTTTTTAAATATTTTGTCAGTACTACATTATATTTAATTTAGCCTTTTTCTTTTTCTTACTTTACCAATAACTATTTTATTAAAAGAAATAATTTTCTTTAAAAAATACAACTTGAAATTCATGCATTTTTTATTTTAATATTTTTTGTTATTCTAATTCTTTAATACTAAAATTGTGTATAGAAATGAAAGGTTATTCATGCTACTAATGGTAATTGGGCAAACTGGAGCAAAAAAATTACATTTTATAGCAAAGCTATAAAATTTCCATTATTTCTTGTAAAATTGTTTTAAATACTTAAATATTATATAATCAAAAATGTTTTTGAATTTTATTATCATGTTAGTAAAAAATTTTAAAAAGTTTTTTTCTCTTTTTTACTAATATCAAAGATGGGAAGTATACCATAACCATCGAATCATATTATCAAACATATATGACTACATGATCAAAATAAACATAAATAAATATGATTAAATTATCAATATATATATATATATATATATATATATATATATATATATATATATATATATATATATATATATATATATATATATATATATATATATATATATTTAAATGATCAAAAATAAACATCAATAAATATATTTAAATGATCAAATTAAAAATAAAAAATTGTACCTAAATCACTAAACAGTAATATAATATCTGATATAGCGATATAATATCTGATATAGTGACAAATATCTGGTTTCAAGTGAACTAAAAACAATGGTTTAATATGTTTTATAATTCAGATTTATTGTAATTCAGTTATTTTTAACTATATTTGTTACAACCCTCGAAATTAGGATTGACATTGGGCAAAGCTGATCTAACTGCCAACCTAAAAGTATTTGAAGTCCGCAATTTTTTCTCGACCTTGTTTCTATGTTTTATGGTCAGACCTTTGTATCAAATAATTTTTGCCAACCTTATACCGACCTCTAAAAGATTGTGATGGGCAAATTATTGCCAACTTTATTTTTCCTAATTATGAGGGTTGTTGTTGTAGAAAAAGCTTAGCATTTATTTAGCTAATTATTATAGCAATGATAATGCTCTTAATTCCACTTTTTAAACTTTTAAAAAGTGGAATTAAGAGCATTATCATTGATTTAAGGAAAAATGAGGTTGGAATAAATTGTATTAATAAAAAATGTATTGTTTCTAAAGATTCTTTGTTAATATTTGTAATTTAGATTTCATGAAATACTCAACTTGAAAAGTTTGAAAATGTTTATCACAATAATCTATTACTGAGGAATGGTTTTTCAAGATCTTGGATATGTCTTTGATTCTCTTGATGTTGAGTGTAAAGGTTATATTGAATGGTTTGAGCTGCAACAATTTGATAAAGAAATTTATCACGAGACACTTGATATTGAGCAGTTAGAAGCTGCAATTAAAACAGTTGAGTTTTTTTGTGATACTTATTTGTATAAAAACATCTTATATTGTTTTCCACTAAATTGTTACTTTCACTATTTAAATTTTACTATTTACTATTTAAATACTATTATTTTTACTATTTAAATTTTACTTTACTATTGTTTTTTACTTGGCTAAAGTTAGGGTTAGTAGTTTTCTCTTCTATTGAAAATAACATTAAGATTTTAATGGTAAAGAGTGAGTTGTTTCAGAGACTTGCCCAATAGTTTTCTAACCTAAACATGAATTTTAAAGGAAGGGTTTGAATAAAGTGCTTTATTTGCAGAGATATGATTTACATGTTTATATATTATAAAAAAATTTTCTTTTGAAAGTTTTGACAAAACTGCATTAAAAGTAAAAGTTATTTGTAAATCCATTTACTAAATAAATAATGTAAATTTAGGAAGTTTTAATAATAAATTGAAAACTTTTTTTTTAATCTAAAGTTTTTTTTTGTTTCACATTAAAACTATTTCAAATGGTTATAAAACTTATTGAAATATTATTAGATTGTGTTTGTTGATTAATTCATTGTTTGTTTATTATTAATACTATTTGTTTATTACTCTTATTAATATTATTATTATTGTTGTTGTTTTTATTATTATTATTATTATTATTATTATTGTTATTATTATTAATAATTTATTATTATTTGTTTTTTACTATTATTGTTATTATTATTAATGGCGGTCCGGACCTGTAAAATACAGGTCTTGATAAGTCTATTTAACAATGACTATTTCTATACTATTTAGAAAGTTTAAGCATGTTTAAGAGTTATGTTGAGGTAGTGGTAGAAATACAATAGAATTTCTCATAAATAATTAATAAGTCTAAGGAAAACTTCCTTTCTAACACATATAAAGCGTTTTCTAGAAATCTTATTTCTTACCACAGCTTGAAAATGTAAACGTTACATGAATAATTAATGAGTTTAAAACTCAAACTTTTGTTTTGAGTGTTTTAATATTTTGAAGTTAACGTCTCTCATAACTCCCAATCCTGTTAACTTTAAATTTATAGTTTGATGCATATTTTATAGTTATATTGCTTTGAATGTTTATAGCGCAGATTTTTTTTGGAATTGTTTTTAATAATACTTTTAACTTAAAAATAAGTCATGATTAACTAATGATTTGAAAGGCACATGTTGAAAGTTTTTCATGTTTCACATTTTTTAAATTTGTAGTAATAGCAAACTTGCTACCATTTATACCATGGAAGTATAAAACGGATGAAAGTTCAACCAAAATGAAATGTTTTGGGACTATGCTTGTAGCCTTTTGTTTCATAAACAAAAAGAAAACGACATCAAGACTCTATTTAAATGCTTAGTCTTTATACGTTGTCATAAATAGGTATGTTTATAATAATTAAAAAATGCAATATTTTTATGTTCGCCAAATAATATTTAAGTATAAACATTGAAAACGGCAACTAAGAAACAGCAAACAACAAGTTTTTTATAAACCTCTGGTGGAGTGGAGTATTGCAATAACTAATGGAGTATTACAAGAACGAATCGTATTATGATATACAGCTATTAAAAGAACGAATGGTATTATGATATACAGCTATTAAAAGAACGAATGGTATTATGATATACAGCTATTAAAAGAACGAATCGTATTATGATATACAGCTATTAAAAGTTTAAGCTTCAGTAATTTAGAAAATGTTTTTATTTTTATTTTTTAACAATTGTTTTAGTTGTCTTTTTAATCAAATGTCGTATTATGATTTAAAGCAAGAAAAAAAGCTTAAACTAACATATGCTTCTAATAAAAAAATTGTTTATATTTGTTTAAAGAGTTTTAACAAACCTTTTGTTGAATAATTACAATTACTAATGGTTAAAACTGTGTAGCATATTCTTTGAAAAACTTTTTTTTTTAATTAGTTACAAGCATACTCCCGAGACTTGAAATTGCTTTGATGTTTGCAGCTTGATGAACTTACATCTGTTTTAGACTTCCATGTTTGTACTAACATCCTCTGGAGATAACATATTTGAGCTTAAACTCTCTGTTAACTTCAATACTTTTTACATAAAAGTTTCTTTAAATTGATGACAGTTGTATCACATTTCTTCTGCTATTTTTAATTTTTTTATAATAAAATACAACCTTCTCATTGAAACTGTAATTTTTTAAAAAGGACACAAAAACAGTTTGTGAAACAGGACACAAAAACAGTTTGTGAAACCTAGTTTTTCAAATATTTTAGGTCAATCTGATTAATATTTCTTATAGAAACTTTTCTGTAACAAACTCTTTACAAAATCTTACAATTAAGCTGTTTTTAATACTTTTTTATATTTTTAATACTTTGCTTTTGCAAAATTTTAAATTATTACAACTGCTGTTTGTGACGAAAAGTGTAAAAAAAGGTATTTAATGGAAACCATCTATTATCACCACCACCACCACCACCACCACCACCACCACCACCACCACCACCACCACCAACAACAACAACAACAACAACAACAACAACAACAACAACAACAACAAGCTATTTATTTTTCATTTTAAAATCATTTTTACAATAATAAGGTAAATAATAATAACAATAATTGTAAAATAATAAGCAGTAGTAATAATTTATAATAATAATAATAATAATAACAAAAAAAAAAATTATAAATAATAATAATTACTATAATAATAAGTAAAATGATATTTTATTTCTTATTATAATAAGTTAATGATTAGTATGGATGGTGTCACTCATACAGAAGTCTAATCAAAGGAGTGACACCATTTAATCAAAGGAGTGACACCATTAATGATAATAAATATTATATATAATAATAAATACACCAAGGTGATAATAGTATAAATGGTTCCATTATAGATAAAAAAACACAACAGATGTGTATAAAAAAAACCCAAAAATGATCATTATATCCATATGAAATCATAATTTTAAAGAAAAAAATATATACCATTTTAAATATGAAACAAGAAACATACTTTTCTTCAGATAAAGTAAAAATATTGATACACTTAAGTAAAAGTTATTTTATATTACAAAAAATATGCGGTAGTGGTGTAGTGGTAGAGCGCTCGCTTAATAAACGAGTGGTTCCGAGTTCGATCCCCACCACGTCCCTGGTAGTACTGCGCTCAACTCGTTTCTCTGCGCAGCGGCCTTGTTCGTCAAGGTTCGTGTTTCGGAGTTAAGAGAGGGTTATAGCCACAAAATAAGTAGCCTCCTCGTCTGTAGTGGCCTTCTCGGCCTTGAGGAGGTGAAGTAAAATAAAAAAAAAAAAAAAAAAAAAGCTATCAGGACTTTACAATACAGGTCATGGTAACTATGTTCCACACCTGACTACAGGCCTTGGCGGGAAGTGAGAGCTTTAGCTCTCGCTTCTCGCCAAGGCCTCTTAATTCCACTCTCCTCTTAATTCCACTCTCACCTACACTTCCTTGAAACCCACACTCTAATCCTTTTAATTCCACTCTCGCCCACACTCCCTTGAAACGGTTTACGAGAGCTATTTATGGCTCTCGTAAAAATATAATTTTTCTCATAAAAGTATAATTGTCATATTAAACACAATGTCAATGTCAAAAATTAATTGCATAATATACTGAAAAATTAGAATCAAAAAAGAGCACCAATTTAAATGAGGAGCAGCTCGCACAGCTCCTTATGTTCGTTTTAGGAGAGCTTTTTTCTGCTATCGCACTCATTTATTCCTGCCGAGGTCTGTAACTATATCTAAATTTGTTCTTAAGTTGGTATTTTTACTCCTATAAATTATAGTAAACGGCAAAAAATTAATCGATTTAAAATTTTGGGGCTTTTGGTTAATAATTTACAATACTAATTGTAATATTTGTTTACATAACAAAGGTATCTTTAACATAGATGGCATTTATGTAACATTTCTCCTGGTATTTTTAGAAACTTAAGGTTATAACAAAATGTTTTGTAAATCAATTTTTTTAAGCCCTCTCATATATTTGGTTCATTTAAAAAGAAAAAGAGAACACAGGAAATGGGCCACAGGTCCTAGTTATGTCAAATAAATTAATTTGTTTACAATTTTTATAGAAATGTTTCTGTAAAGTACTCTTGGCAAAATCTTTCAATTAAGTTGTTTTTAATTTAAAAAATTGAAAATCGATAGTTTATGCAAATAGTAATCATCTAGATTGTAATTACAAAAGGTGATAAAAGTATAAATGCATTCCTTCACATACAAAAATATAAGGGAAATATTTAAAAAAAGCAAAGCAAAAATGGCTAATATATCTATACAAAAGAGTAATTCCGAAGAGAAAAAAGATAAATATTATGTTAGATACAAAAAACATATTTTTCTTGAGATAAAATAAAAATATAAACATTTTTTGTCACTAAAAAAGATACTAATAAAAAAAATAATAAAAAATAAAAAATATATATATAAAACATAAATTACTTCTAAAAGCAACTTAAATTATTGTTTTATTATTATATAGCTTTCATTAAAGGTAAAGAATAGTCTGAGAAAAAGTTGATTAATAAACACAAAAATTGAATAAAAAGAAAAGTCATGCAATTCAAACCCAATTTCACAACAAATACGTAAATTGATATATACCCAGGGTATATATCAGCCCAAGCATGTGGCTACTGAGTTCTTTGTATATCTATAAATAATAGCCAACAATACTAATATTTGATATTAAAACAGTCATAATATAGTTATAAATTAGTGATGTTTTTTTGAATGTTTTAAAAGTTTTATAGGTCAAGTTTTACATTTGTTGCATTTATGCTTACTGTTGAATGGCCTTGCTACGGAATATTTATATTAAAATTTAAAATCATTTTATTTGTTTTGTTTATTTAATATATTTAAAACATGTTTCCATAATTTAATATATTTACCATGTAAGGTTTGTGGAAACAAATCTAATGGGAAATGTACAAAAGAATATTTTCCTGATATCGTTAAAGAAATTGATAGAAGACATGTTATGGAGGAGCAAATTCGCTGGGATTTTTGTTCTCTTGATGTTGAAAAAGTTGGAAGAATTTCAATTCAATCAGCATTATTTCTTTTTAAAGCTGTCCTTGGAGAGAGATTTTCAAAACGATGTTGGAAAAGATTTTTAGATAATCGAGTTGATTCTTTTAAAGATATTTACTTTGACGAAATTAAAGTCTATCTTTGTAGTATACCAGATCTTGCTGCAGCAGACAGTGAAAGGGACTATGATGAACAAAATAGAGTTGTTGGTGAATATATGCATCAAAATATGTATAATACATTTAAAGAACTTGAAGATTCTTTGGTAAATAAATAAAATTAATTTTTGACAGTCAGTATTTTGTTTAAATTTATTTTACACAACTGGTGATTTAAGAATTTTTAAGTTGATTTATAGTAAATAATAATTGCTAAATAAAATCTTGTTATATCTAATTAACATTTATGATTTTTTTTTATCTTTTTTTATCTAATTTTTATAATTATTTAAGTTTGTATTTAAATTGTATTTAAATTTTGTAAGTTGCATTTGGTAAAAATTTTGAAATTAAGACTTAGTTTAAACAATTTTATAGCTTTAATTTAAAATTTATCATACTTATATACTAAATATACTTTATGTACCAAAATTTTTTTTTTAATATAATAATTTTTTTAATATTTATATAATTTTTAAATAATATAACAATTATATTTGTATTTTATATTTATACTATATAAAAATTTATATAATATAATTATACATTATTGTTAATTTATAATATATTATAATATATTTTATATATTATTTTATATTTTTATATTTATATATTAATTATATTATTTTAATATATTTACATAATTTTTAATTATAATTTAATTTTAAACACTTATTAATAATTTTTTATATATTCAAGTTTTTTTTTTGTATACCTATATACTATTTTTTATATATTTATATACCATTTTTTATTTATATTATAATTTTTTGATTACATATTTTACTATAGTTTTTCGCAAAAATTTTTGTCAATTTAAATTTGTTAAAATTTGAGTTTTTATTTAAAAATTTATTTTAGGTAAACTTTTTAAATTTAGAAAGTTAAACATTTCAAGAAAGATATTGTTCCAAAAACAACCCTACTAAATGTCTACTTGAAAAATTTTTAACAAATTCAGTTGCAACACAATGTTTATAATCTCTAATACTGGAGGCTGGCCCTAATAATTAATTGAATACATTTGTGCTCAAAATTTCTTCATATCAATAGGTTTCAGGCCTTAGTATAGTTTATATTGTTGAATAACTTCTTAGTCTTCAAACTTCTAAAATTGTCAAGCTTAATAATTTTAATTTTTCATTTTATCCCAGAATCAATGTAAGAGATACAGTCCTGTAGTTAGTTGATTTCAGCCCACTTCATTTAAACAAAGGCGTTACATTTGTCATTTTCCAAAAATCAGGTATAGTTTTATCTTCTCTATATTTTTTAAATAATGAATATAAAGGTTATGATATTGCTGAACTGCATTGTTTAAAAACAAAAGGATGTGTCATATCAATTCTAATATTTCAAGAGCATTTTGTGATATATCGACATTTTCTAAAGTGCGGTTGATAATTAACATTATTGATGTTTATCTTCTACATAGACTACATAAATATTTATCTTCTTCATAGAAAATAAATATAATTATTTTTCTAATTTAATTTTTTACAGACTTTTTCTCATTTTTATACATAAAAAGTAACTTCAGACTCAATTTACAAATATTACCAATATTTATCCCAAATGGCTCAATGTTTTTTATTTCTTTTTTGATTTCAATCTTTAATCAACTATATTTCGTTTTAATTGATTTTTTTTCCCAATTAATAAATTTGTTAAAAAAAATAAGTTTTTAGTTTTTATTTTATGTTTCAATTTGGGAGTATTTTATTTTTGTTCCTTTTTTTATTATTATTGATTATTGGGATAAATTTTTCAGTTGCATAATTATAATGATGCAAAAGTAAATCATACATTTTATTAGTTGTTTTGTTGTTAAATTAAATTTTCCAAATGACATTATCAAAATGATTTGAAAATAGTTCAAATCTTTTTTTTTATATAATCTAATCTAAAAATATATTATAATATTTTATCTTTATCATAAGTAAATTGTAAATTTCAACTTCAATAAAACTCAGTTATTTACTGCAAACAACTATCGCAGTACTATTGACATTCTTTTATTAATGTATGAGTCTTTTTCTTTATATATTTTTTTTGGATTATCATTTACTACTGACCTTTCATCAAAACCATATATACAATCGATTGCTAAGTTTGCATCTGCTAAGGTTTTTTCTCTTTATTGTGCGCACCATTTTCTTTCTCCTGATTCCATTCTCTACCTCTAATCCCTACCTCTTATTTATCCCTGTATGGAATACTGTCATATTTTGGCTGGTTCTTCTAATGATTCTCTTTCTCTTCTAGAAAAGGTCCAAAAAGGCATTGTAAATGTAGTTGGACCTGCTTTATCTGCTAAGCTTGAGCTTCTTTCCCATCGCCGTAAATCTCTTTCTCTTTTCTACAAATACTATCATGGTTGCTGCTTTTAGGAGCTATTATCTCCTGCTTGCTCTAAAAACTTTTATTTGTCTAGTTTTTTTGCCTGCACTTCAACATTTTGGAACTCTCTCCCATCTTTATTTTTTCCTGATTCATACAATCTTCAACTTTTTAAGTCTTTTGTCAACAGTTTCCTTGTTCTATAGCTATTTACTTTTTTTTCTAGTAACTCCCAACTTAAGAGTGGTTGCTTGCAGCCTTGTTGGGAGTGAATGCAAATAAAATAAAAAAAAAATATTATTCAAAAATGTTTTTTAAGTTTTATTCTTCTTTCTTTTCATTTTGACAAAAAAAAAATGAATAAGCTCTACAGTATTAATTGATTCACCAAAAGAAGCTTATGGAGAAGACCATGTCGATAGTCGAGCTTGCCTTTCGGAATATTGGGTCATATGCACATTAACTTGTCTTTTGGAATGTTTTGAATGTTAAGTCATATACACATTAGAATAGAAAATGTTCTTCAAGACATTTAATAAATTTTTTAGTTTATAATTCATTATCAGTTGCTGAAAAAAGACAAAGTTATTCTTTTGAAGAAGATAAAAAAAAAATGATTACGTTTATATATAGAATCTGTACAAAAAGGTGAAAACCATAGAGTAGAATGACTAAGAATTGACAAGACGGAATACCCCTTCTATTCTTGTCTGAATCCAGGAGGTTATGTTGAAGGCACATTTATCAGCTGAAGGGCCATCATGAAGAAAATAAGAAAAAGAATATCAGACATAAAACACTCATAAAATAAAAACCCCCTGCCTTGGGGCTCTTGGTTGAGTAAGGCTAGAGATGTTGTCTCGATAAAAATACTCATCTTGGGCAGATGTTAAATGCATCCTGCTGCTGTCTTGTAGAAGGCCTCCTAGGCAAAGACTTAAGAGGTAAACAGATTCTATCTGTTGACCAGCCTCGCACCCCTTTCTCATCTATTAGGCTGGCGCAGATGTATTTTTAATACATTGTTTCCAGTTTAGGATGTTGAATGCTGGATCTTCTTGACTGGATGCATAGGTTTTGTTTGTGTCTCTGTTTTTATGACTAGGCAACTCATTCTATTATCTCCTAAAGCAACCCTCAGAATTAGAAAAAATGAGGTTGGCAATAATTTACCAACCCCAATCATTTTAAGATCGTCATCATGTTGGCAAAAATTGTTTGATACAAAGGTCTGACCATAAAACATAGAAACCAGGTCGGCAATTTTTTGCTGACCACAAACACTTTCAGATCGGCAGTTAGGTTGGCATTGCCGAATGTTGACCCTAATTCTGAGAGTTGCCTAATATGGGTACAGCTCTAAAACTTAGTTTTATAGTTCTAAGGCCGGCTGGTAGTCAGGTTTCCTGAACTCTGTGTTAGCTCTCAGAGAGGCTGATTCCATCAATAGCTGTAAAATATCAAAGTACTAACAGTGCAATGTTGTGCATAAATGGTGTCCCAGTTTGTACTTTTGGTGTACATTGCCAAGGCCACATTGGAGCCCATTATTACGGTAAAGGTTTACTAATAATAATCATGCAATTGCTTGGGCTATTAAACAGTTTACTGAATACTATCTATATTTCGAGTCAAGTTCTTTAACAAATTTAAAAATTAATATAGTAACAAAAACTATAAAATACAAAAAACTACATTCATCACCAAGTTCGCTAAACCTATCATTCACTAATATTGGTGGTCTTCGAAGTAACTTTTCTTCTGTTTAGTCTTATCTCTTGCAAAGTTCACCAGACCTACTTGCTCTTTGTGAGACTAATTTAAGTTCAGCTGTCTTATCTTGTGAACTTAGTGTTGATGGTTATCTTCCTTTAATTTGTAAAGAATCCAACAGTCACATGCTTGACCTGGACATTTATATTCATAAGAATTCACTCATTTATCAGGAAACTAGGTTTGAATCCACAGACTACTCTTTTATGTGCTTTGGTTTAGCACCACTTTACTCTATCACCTTTCTCTTTGTTCTATATCGCTCTCTTTCATCTCAAAACTACACTCTTCTTGATGTTATTTCTGATCATATTGACCAAGCCCTCTCTCTTTATCCATCAGCCAATATTGTTGTTGTCAGTGACTTTAATGTTCATCGCACTGAATGGCTTGGCTCTAGTGTCTAGTGTCAAGCATTAAGGCCCACAATTTTTGCCTTTCTCAATCCCTAACTCAAATAGTCAACTTTCCAACTTGCTTTCCAGACAACCCGAATCATTTACCTTCTCTACTCGACTTATGTCTTGTTTCTGATCCTAGTCAATGCTCAGTTTCTCCACACTCACCCTTAGGTGCTTCTGATCATGATTTGGTCTCTCTAAAACTATTATATAATTTTTGTTTTTCATCAGAATCCCCCTATCATTGTACATCTTACAACTACCTTAAAGCTGACTGGGACTCTTTCCGTGATCTTCTTCGTGATGGTTCCTGGGTAGAAATTTTTTGTCTTCCTATTGACAAATGTGCTTCTTACAAAACTTCGTGGATTCAGGCTGGCATGGAATCCTTTATACCCTCTTGACAATTTCAGGTCAAGCCTCACTCTTCTCCATGGTTTTCCTCGCATTGTACTGCTGCAATTGCTAATTGAAACCATTACTTCCATATCCATAAGCAAAACAATTCTCCAGAAAACAGGCGTCTGTTTATTACTGCTAGGAACCATTGTAAAAAGGTTTTGTCTAACGCCGAAGCCCGCTATTCTCAGATC